ACGCACCGTCGTCCTCGTCGTCTTCCTCGTCGTCTGCGGGGCAGAGGCACGCACAAGCCTTCTTGTCAATACCATTATTATCACATTTTAACTTATTCACACACATGCACTTCGGTTACCATAAGCAATACAAGTTTCAACTGTCATAACTCACACAGTGGATCAACCGTAAATTATTATTATTATTATTATTATTATTATTATTATTATTATTATATACTTATTTTCTCAGCAGCTTGCGCTGGGTTCAATTTGCCCATTCTTGCCACGGTAAGGGGAAAAAGCTCGGTCACTGAGGAGAAAGATTTCACTCTGACCCCCAAGACCGATATGGGAGTGTCATTTGTTCAAGAACTGGCTAACAATATGACATGTTTGCAGGATCACTGTTTTCTGTCCGTAATGTAGAATTTTTTGTAGTTATACCATTTTTTAAAACATTTTTCGTGAACTTGTTTGTTACTACACTTTCAGCTGAAATGGCAAGTGGATATATTGTAACATTCTGTAGTTTCCACATTTGTTTTATTTCTAGAGCGAGATCTTCATATTTAATAAATTTCTCGGCCTCTGTTTTATTTAGGTTGTGTGTCAATGGTATTGCAATATCAACAAGCGTAGCTTTTTTTAAATTTATTATTATTAGTAGTAGTATTATATTTCTCTACTTCATCACTAAAAATAGTAAGAGTGATCATAAAATCTACATCGTGTTGCAACCACTTTCCTAAGGAGCAGATATAGGGACTGTCGGTGCCTCTTTAATACTTCGCGCAAAATGAGAACTGTTCCTAATAAATCAATGTCTTACACTTCCTAGTCGTTGGAATGACCTAGAAGTTAAGCCAAGTTCTTACACAAATTTTACGGAACCAATTCCAGAGCTTCGATGACTATCGGGACACTGTGCTTTTACGCCCCTTAGTTAGGGCAAATGAGATTTAATGCAATGGGAAAGGTCTCATCTTCGTTAAAATCCTTGATTTTTCGAAAATTGCAAAAGTTCAATTTTTCCCGTCTCATTAACACAATAATATTTAAGAAGATTTTTGAAAAACGAGTTATGTTCTAAAACAATAGATCTTTAAATAAAATTATGTAAATGTTTTTGAAAATGGAATTATTTTTTGCGTAATTTTCTCTTTAAGAGAAGCCAATTTTTAAAAAGTGTTTCTAAAACAGGCAATTTGTTTAATTTCTTTTTTAATAGAGACAAAATAGGCTCATAAAAGAAACGCAGGTCGGATTTTCGCAGAACGCTCAGAATTTTTGCAAATTTAAAAGTTACAAGTAAAGCGAGAAAGTTAAAAATGTAGAACCACAAGTTTTTTATAAGATTTTGTCATTCGTTGTCAATTCACTTCTCATAAAAAAACACCTCGGAAGAGTTATTCCATGTGAAAGCGCACAGCGCTCCTACTAATTCAAAGATTTGTATTCCACAGGAATCTCATGCAGAAATGGGCATGACTTCACACTTGGAGGAATTCCAACAACGAAAGCAAGTCCCAGAAACTTAAATCACTGTTCCAATGATTTCTCAAGTTTCGTTTGCTGTTAATATTACTAAATCGCCATAGAATCAGCCTGCTTACCTTCATCGGCATCAACCGCAACCGAGACCAGCTCGTGGGCCGCGGGTTGAGCCGCGGGTTGAGCCGCGTTTACGGCGGCCGGCGCCGTATTTGTCCCTTCCTCAGTCCTCATCGCAGCGCTCGCGCTGCTGTTGCTCGCGTCCTCACCCTTCATGGCCAGCGCGGAAGCCGAGAGGGCCACCATGTCCCCGGATTCGCTGGCAGCGACCGCGGCCTGCGGCACAAACGTCAGAGGCGTTCGAGAAAATAAGTCACAATTTAATCATTGAACGTACTGCAAAAATGAATGCTTAATATTAATAAAAATTATAATGTATCTTAAATAATAATGTAAAAAGAAAACAAGTAGGTATATTTTCATGAACATTGTGTTAAAGACAATATCGAAAAGTCAATACCGAACAAAAACCATACACTGAATTTAAAAACAATAATACTTTTCCAAAAATTGGCCAGATTTTAAATTCAACTTAAGATTGAGGTGCATTTACTCAAATTCATTTTGCCCTTACGTTTTTTTCAATATCTATTGTTTTCAATTATTTTGCATGTGACTATTTAAATAATTTTCAAATTTTTTATTGTTATACTCATTACTTTAATGAATTGTGTGTAAAAGAAACTGAAAGATCAAGATTCCGATATTGTTCGTGCACAAGAGATGTGATATACCGTAACAATCGTATTTTTATTGAAATGAAGAAATATGTTTTAAAAATAGACGAAGATTAGGGGCCAAAATTTTATAAAGATAGTTCACAAAACAGCAGACGAATAAGATTAAATACTTCGTCTCACTACTGTGAGTGAAATAATCAGTTCATCTTGGGAAAAAAGCATTCCATTACAAAATGATGTTGTTTTAGAAAGTCGCTTCTCTTGAGGGCTAACGATATATCTCTGACGTCAAACGTTTTCAATGAGGTCAAATTTCCATTCGTCTTTACGGTATGGCGATGACTTCCTCCATCTGATGCTTAAGTACGTTGAATTGCAGTGCCTCTGACCGAAAGATTTTAGGGTTTATCGTCAGTGGCAGGATTTACGATAATAGTTACATAGCGAGGTCGAATTTAGCTGCTGTCTGAAGGAGAATTCTAGAGGCCGGCTGCTCTGATCATTTTTTTTTCAATCAACAATAGACGAATGCCGCAGCAGTACCCTCAATAACGGGCCACAGACCGCGCTCGATTTTTCCATCGACATTCCTCACCCCTTATTTAAACACATATACACTTACATGTACTACACTACCACCCATGTCGAGAGATTAGAGCTTGTCTCGGCAGGGGCGGTTCCCCGCTAGTGGGAGGTTCCTGGTAGGGGAAAACCCCGCAAGCCGACAGGTAGGTCGACGCCGGGTTTCGCCATCCGGCGGGGGAAGATCACCGCCAACTCCCGGGATAAGACATGCACTACACGTACGGGACTAACAACCCTAGCAGTCGAGGAGATGGGAAACACGAAATGCAATGTCAAAAACATGCTGTTGCGTACCGCTGCCGCCATGTCGCGCGCGCGCCGCGTGGCCGTC